TTCATTTCTAATATCAATTTTGGTTTCTTGGGTATAATGTGTTTAAAAATTAAAAACATGAAAGTTCTTCACTGATTTCATTTCAGGAAAAATGAATGACTAGAAAGCAAAAATTATGACTGAAATGTAAAGAAAATAACCAAATCGTGTTTTAATCTCCATTTTGCATATTCATGACAACGGGGCATAAGTACTGGCATAATGTAAAGTGTTCTTGCTACGTCATGACGTTCTACACATCACTTCCTTGGTGTGTTACTTCATCTTCACCTTTGGTGTATAGAAAACTACAAATGACAACACTGACTTAAAAGTGATGCTGACAGGACAAAAGCACAAACGATGGACATGCGCACTAGAGGCCTTATATTGGCTCAACCTCTGCCTGCTTATCTCGTACCAACAAGCTCTCATCTGAGGTGTCCTGGATAGCTCAGCTCTCTGACTAGGTTATCCTGCCACTCTTCCAAAGACTGATTCTCCAGTGCTTTGCATTCTTTTGCCATTGTTTTTCCATTTGTGTCCAAGATTAAAAGTCTGTACATGAAAAATTCTATCTTTATTATACCAATAATGATTACATCTATCAGTACTTAGTATTTATTCCAGAAATTTAAAGAGAAAATTCCATCATTTTTATCAATGTATAAAACTCATATTTTAATGTATAAGGACATTTAAAAATGAAAGCTGGTGCATAATAAACCAAAATGCCATCTAAGTGTAAGAGCTATTTTATTAAATGATTTTATAAGCCTTAAATGGGACAAATTACAAGGAATTTTATTTACTTTTTTTTTTTTTTTTTTGGTGGTACCAGGGATTGAACTCGGGATCCTGTGCTTGCCAGGCAAGCGCTTATTCTACTGAGCTATCTCCATGGCCCTTATTTTGGTATTTTTGAGACAAGGTCTTGCTCTAATCCAGGCTGGCCTTAAATTCACCATACAGCTCACACTAGCCTCCAACTCCTGGTGACCCTCTTGCCTCAACTTCTTCCTGAGTACTGGGGTTACGGGAATATGCCACACCTGGTCCTAGGAATCTCACAAGTCCAGAGATGAAGGTAATGTGATTCACGCCTGTAATCCCGGTACTGAAAGGGTGAGGCAGGAGGATGACCAAGTCAGTCCAGCAGAAACAGGTTAATGACTTAGTGAGACCAAGTCTGAAAATAAAAATTTAAAAAATGGCTGAGGATGTATCTCAGTGTACATGCCCCGGATTTACCCACCATGTAAATTTTTAAAAATACAAGGAAATTATTTTAAAAATTTGCTGTGACCACTTTTGTGCTATGAAATAGTTCAATATGCAACTATTGAAACCTTGAATGAGAAGCATGTTTCTCAAGCAAAAAAATGCTTTACTTTAGCTATCTGTAGAACAGATGAAAACTAGCTTGAGTTTGAAGACAAAAAAGTGAGTTTTAAAAGGTCTCTAGATTAAACCTTGCAGTATATATAGAAGTGACAATTTTTGAAAGCTACAGGCAAACTTCAAAGGAAGCTCATCTTCAGAACTTTTCTTAATGTTGACAAAGTAATGAGAATTAGAATAAATATTTGGCCTCTGATATCTATCTATCTATCTATCTATCTATCTATCTATCTATCTATCTATCTATCCAGTGGTTGCCTACATAAAATTGTCCTGATAATTACCTCTATTGTTTATGTGTAAACAGCCCCTTTCTAAAAAAGCCAATCTTTATGGAAAAATTGAGTTATTAAACATCTTTGAATTGTGTCCCTGAAGTAAATGTATTAGCAAATTGTTTCTAGCAGGCACTCAAATCCCACAAAATACAGTCTGTGCAGAACTGACTGGGGAATGCTTTTTTCCTAAGATATTTGGAATACAGTATAATTGAGCTTTGATCTGAATTAAAAAGTTTAAGATAATTCAATATAAAGGTTTTATTATTCCAGTTTTCCTTTTATTCCTCGAAATATAAACCAGTTTGTATTATGCCAAATTTCTTTAAAGTTTCAATTCAATCCTAGATGAAAGTTAGTTTAGAGTACAATTGTAGCATGGGTTGATCGCACTATAGATTTATGGTCATTCATTTTTAAAGGTAACAAAATATGAAAATCACTTAAAATTGTCATCTATGATGTTTACACATGTGTCGTCATAGAACTCCTTCTTTTAAAAGTTAGGTTACAGTAACATTGTCAGTTTGGATGACCCAGTGAAAACACTTAAAGGTTTCATGTGCCAGATGTCCCCCAATATTCTGCTAATGAAAAATAAATTATCAAATCTGAATTCATTATAATTTGAATGCTCATTGTAGTTCTACAGGATTGTAATACACAAGTGTATCATTCACTAAAAGGTAAGCAACTTTGCTTAATTAGAAAGACCAAAATAATAATGATACACTTCAACATTTATCTTGAATTCATCTTCATAGCATTTTACATAAAATGGAGACTATATTAACAGGAATAGACGATCATATGTTATCCTAAAACATTTTCAACATTCAATATTATAAGGTCATAATTCAGGGGAAATCAATGTATTTTAGCATAACAATTTTAATCAGGATGTGTAAACCACATGAAAGACTAAGGCACTATAGTTTGGAAGAATCTGTGTTCCTTTATTCCTTTATGTAAAGGAGGCTGGCTATCATTATCAAATGATCTTTTTGGATTGTCAACCATTTGAACATGTGATTTCATTAGTTTCATGCTCTTTTATTTGACTGAGTTAAAGCACATGCAAATTGGTCCTTCACTGATAGGGGCATTGGTTAAACTGGTGGAGTTTCTTGGGGGGGGGCAGTGGAAGTGTAATTGTTCTTATGCAAAAACTCCAATCACTTCAAATAGGTTAACAAACTTAAATGCGAAATACCTGACGTTTTCAAATAAATGCAAACCTACCTTCATTTCCAGAATAAGCCTCTATTCATTTCCATGAGACAATGTTTTCACAAAATATAAGGCAAAACAGGTGTTATGTACTTAACAAAACTCATAATTTAAATAATTAAAACTAATTTGTGTTTAAAGCTATTTGCAGATTTATTAGAGAAACAAATACAAATATGCATTTCTACAGAACTGTTTTTTTTTTTCCAAAATGATCTTAAAACTTGTTCCACAGTATTCACTTGTTTATAGCTCTATGGTAACCCAAGTATTGGCTTCTGTACCACTTGTAATGAGACAATTGCCCTTCCATTGCAATTATAAAAAACTATTTAAAAAAAAATTCGGCACATACACGTTAAATATTTTTCCTTAAAAAAATAATCTAATCAAAATATTGAATACTTTAGATTTAAACAATATTTTATTTACAAATCTGAATTGATGTATTTATTAATTATACAAGGTAATGCTTCAATTTTCAAGAACAGTTGCTTTTTGCTTATATAGACCAGTGGAATGACATCCTGTCTAGTAATATGTACTACACTTCATTTTTTTTTCAAAACGAACATGACAAGTTTCGTGATAGTTTTATTTTCTGTAAAATGTGATTTAATTGGGGCACATATCTGATGAAACAAAAATAACATGCAGAATTCCAAAAATAATCTGTTAAAGAATATGATACTTACCCTTTATGTAAAAAGACATCTATGAACAACAGTGCATAACAGTATTATGTATTCATGTTTATGAGAAACCAAGCAGGAGGCAAAATGAGTTCATCCTGTTTTCTAATCATATGCAATTTCATATGGCTGTTAGCATCATTTAAATAAAGTGTGTACATTAAATTGATAAGATTGCATTGCACTCAAAATTATTATGTATAGCCATGCTTGCCCTGTATTTAATAAGTGATGAATTTCTCCCACTAACAGAGTAAC